GTTGTACTGCTTCACGGCCCAAGCCTGCTACTTTCTAGTTCATGAGCCACGTGAGCAAACATGCAAGTTGAAAGTTTTACCTAAGATTTTCACGACTGATTCCACCCCTAATCCAGACAGTTAGTTAAATTTGCTAAATGACCTGGGACAGACCGAGTTGCAATGGTTTGCAAGTTCCATGTGCCTGAAGAGTTGCTGCGTAAGGGGCTTGTTGCAACGTCTTGTCTGCTACTAGAAAACACAAAGCAGAGGAGTCCTGTTTGATCTGCATGATGCTTCATTTACTGTGACTTTCTTGTTGTTGTTGCTGTTGAATTACCTCCCTTCCTCATCTTTTGCACATGGCAGTTTTTTATTACTGTGCTTGCCAAAAGCATCACATTCTGCCAGGTCAACAGCTCTGTGTAATAAACTCTTTACACCTTCTCTTTCTACATTTTTAGCCAAAATCCTTGGAATTTATCTGCATTACAGAAAGTGCTTACATGGTTTTATTAAGATCAACAAATTTTAATCCCTAGTGGTTGGCCAAATTCCAGTTTGTCTTATTACAGTCCAGTCTTCTAAATTAAAATTCCCCCCAAAGTCCCAGTGGGCAATGTGTGCTCCTTGCCGTGCAGTGCTATGTCATATTGCTGCATCTCGTTCATTGCTCTTGTTACACCTACTAGGAGGTTGTTTCCTTGGGTCCCATCAGGACCTTTGCAAAGAGTGGTGCTATTCGACTTCCCTTCTACGCTATCTTACCCCTCAGCTCAAGTATGATTTCTTCTTCCTCTTGAGAACTCTAGTCAAAACCTGCCTGGATCCATAATTCTTTTTTCTTCCCTTCCCTTCCCTTCCCTTGCCTTCCCTTTCATTTTTTTTATTTTTTTTTTTTAACTCCTCACTCAGGAGGGAAAACCTCCTAGCTCTTTCACCTAACAAGTTACCTTGCAACTGCTTCCAGAATAACCTACAGCTGTTGAGTAGGCTCCTATACATTACCCAGGTCCCATGCGCAGAAAACATACTTAGAAAAGGTGATATCGTTCTATCCTAGGCATGTAGTAACTACTAGAATTTGAAATGCTATCTTTGAAAATTCTTCTTCTTGAAGTCTTGTGGTAGGGGCTTAAAATGTGGAATAATTTGACAAGCGTTTCAGGATAATGAGACTCCTTAGAAAGATCTGTGAATGTTCCAATGGCAAGTTAGTTGAATCACTGAAATAATTACGATCGTTTCTCACTTCTGCTGTCCTTTGACAATAAGATTTTTCTTTGAAGCTAGATCTGGAAGTCTCTTCTTGGGCAAAGGAGAATTACCCTCAAGCTTGAAATTTGCAGTGCAAACCCTGAGTGTTTCCATGTCTCTAAAAGCCAACAGGAATTGCTTGTTTCTGTTTGTCTGATGGCCAGTGGATATGTGAGGGTTGTTCTAACAGTGGTTTTCCTACTGATCTATATTCTTAAAAAGGATGTATTAAGGAGTGAAGACAGTTGCTTTTATCCTGCATTATCAGATTCACCGGTGGTTAGGGGCACCTTATTGATATGCTGACATGTTGTCTTGACCTTAGTGTACAAGAGTTCAAGAGATCTGGTTCTGTTCATGTTTTTCTTAAGCTTTGCAAAGTCTTCTTGCAATGACCTTTAGTGACAGCTGATGGTCTCTGCATCTGAAGTGATAGGTTTTAGCTCCTCTCCTTGCAATGTAAACAATAATATTATGCCAGCTCTCTGTCTTGTCTGTGGCATCTTGGCTCTTGCACTGAGCTCTCTGGGGGAGCCAAGAGATCAGTGCAGCACAAGGAACCTGGGCCACATGCAATTGCTACAGGGACTTTCTCTCCTTCACTGTGAGTCTTTGCAGGCACAACAGAGTTGCTCGGAGGTGGAGTATTTATGTGCTAACATAATAAAAATAATAGCGTGTAGCCAGATGTCAGGCTAAGTACTTGACTCATTCTACTGAAGTCTCATCATACTGAAAGTTTCTAGGCAGCTTTGCTTTCCAGTGCAATGCAAGGCTTGGGAATGTGCTCTCTGTCAGGCCATAAAAAGTTCAAATTTTAAGACAATAGGTTCTATCTAACCCTCATTTATGCATTTTAATTGCTTTGGTTTTTTAATCTTTAAATCAAGATCTTTCCTCCTACTAGATAAAACCAAAATGCTTTTTATGTAGCTTTTAGAGGCACATTAGGTTGCCAGCATTAAGTTTATCTTTCCAGGCAAACTTTTATGATTTATATAACTCTGTCAGGATACAATTTAATGAAATGTCTTATATCAAGGAAAAGGATTTGTGCTTCTGAGCACTACTTTTTTGAGACTTCACAAGTTTACAAATTTAATATTTGCTCATTAAACGTGTTTGTAGCAGGAACAGAGTCTTCCCTGGATCTGTGCCTCAGAGACCAGTTGTTGTTGGACATTTTAGAGACAGACCCAGAAAACTCTTGTGTCATTCGTGTAGTCATGCGTCTCTGAATTAAGATTACTTTGGGCACAGCTATTCACCCAGGCTAGGCTCGGCTTTAAAAATGTAATTAATTGAACCCTGTGCTTTAGAAATGAAGGTGGTCTGGCTTCTAATTTCCCATAACTAATACCAAGTAGGAATGCCATGAAAATGGAAACAGACTTCAGTGAACAAACTCGCTTCAGATTCTTTGTCCTGCAGCTGCCCTAAAGGCTTTGGTTCAATTATAGCTGCAATACATATATAAGTAAGCAATTCCTTCTGAGATTAAGGGAAAGCAAAGCCTTTTCTTGGGTGATTGATAGTCTTGTGTGCTTCCACATAAGCTCTGTGTCTTGCTTGGGCAGTGGTCTGCTGTGGAAAACACTGGAAAGACAAAATGAGGTGGGTATTGCCACAAGAGGTGTCACATTCTACAGCACACTTGTTTCCCAAGGTAGTAAACCATAGTAGCTGGGTCATTCTGTCACCTTTCTGTGAAATATCCATAGCACGGGGGGCCTGCGAGACACAGAAATTCCTACCTGGACAGGAGTTTTTTCTCTGGCAGATGAACTCCTGTGTTTTGTTCGTTTACTCTAGCCATCTGGAAAGAGAACTGTGGTGGACATAAATACAACTGTTTTTGTGGAGCTGCCATCATGAGCTCATAAAGGCAGGGTGATGCTCTTTTGGAAAGTGTAAGAAAACTTTCCATAAAGGAAAATCTCTCTCCCCACCCCTGGAGTGGTTTTGATAAAGTTCCAGTTAAAATATTACATCCACCTATAAAGGAGTCAGAGAAGCCTCTATAAAGAAATTCCAGGAAAGAGCCAACAGTGATAGAAAGCTGATACTGACGTTTTACAATGCTGCCATTTGAATTACTAGTGAACGCAAAATCCAGGAAAGATGGGAAGACTGAATTAAATCTGGCAAGTCTCACTGTTTCAACTTATGCTGCAAAATACTATCCTTCTGGTGTTTTTTGGTAAGCGTAAAAGACCATGCCCTGGTGTTCGATACCAACTATAGCATAACAGGCAATAACGGGAGAGGGGATCATATAAAGTGTTTATGAGTATGAGCCTCACATATTTACAGGGACTGTGTGCAGAAGGTTTCCAGTGGCAGAAAGGCAGGATTTTCTGTCAGAAATCATTGGAGGAGACGAGGTCAGCATCGAAGATTAAAGGTCTGTCGAGAGCAGCACAGATCCTGTATTGTGTAAACTCAAGTTTCCCTAATGATCGAAGGAAACTGGCTGGAAGCTGTTCTCAGAGAGGGACTGAAAGAACGTTTAGTTCTCCCGAGTGCTAATTCCTGGGGACGCTTAGGGACCTGCCATCCCTTAGAAAAGGGCAAAAAGAGATTTCCGAATCTCTGTGCTGCCAAGTGGGGATATTCGAACCGCCACAGCACAAAATGTGATTTGCGTGCAACGTAGTAAAATACCAGCCGTATTAAGAAGCCAAAATGGAGATATAATGGGGGAATGGATAGCAATTTGTGCTAAGTCTCGGAAAGCAGCAACTTGCTTCCCGGCTCCGTGTTTGGCACAGCATTTGGAGTGCCAGGGGGGTTTTAGCTGCCATAGCAACATCCCCTACCCAAGAGGGTAGGCGAGAGCAAGACGTATTTCTAGTTAATACCTCCTCAGTTCATGCAATTAAATTGCCCAAGTTAGCAGAGCACGTCGGATTTAGACCCGCTCTTGATTTCAAATGATTGTGCTTGAGACTTGTCCCAGTCTTTACTGTAACATGAACATTCAAATGAGCGTGGCTTTTTCAGTTGCCATAACCTCATGATGGGAGAAATACAGGGCTGGAATGAAGAGGAAACCCGCAGCCTTTCCCTTTCGTTTTGGCCAAGAACGTGATTGACTCTCCAAAGCAATTCTGTCCTGTGCTTTAACAGACCTTTTCCATCTGGTTTTACATCACGTTGGCAAGTTGCCCTGGGGACCCTGGAGAACAGGGAGCACTGGGAATACTGGGAAATGCCAATGCATCTGGGTGGGGAAGTTTAGTGGATGACTTGTTCTCTCTACCTCTTCCCTCTTCCCCCAAGCCAATTTTGTGACTGTTCCTGTCCCTCTTTTTCTTCTGGTCCGCCCTTTCATTTCCTGGGAATGAGCAATTAAGTAGATGGGGATTATATATATTTTTTTCTCTCTTAACAAAGCTTTGTCACGTGCCCAATCCAACCTGCAGCAAGTTGCAAAGAAAAATATCCCTGGGAAGGGTTTAGCTGCTCTTTGGGGTTTCAAAGCTCAGCACCCAGCGCCTTTGCTTTGCCTGTGTGCCCGGTGTTCATGCATCTATAGGAGGGGAGAAAGGAAGGGGAAAAGTGATGAGGTGGAGGAGGAGGATGCAGGGGTTGAGGTGAAACAGGAGACAGCGGTTCCCCCACCCCTGGCTTTCCTTCGTTCCCTTCCTCCAGTACAAGATGTGCCTTCCCTAGATTGGGTAGTTTCGCGGAGGTGGTTTTCCCCCTCAAACCTTTCCCACGGCGAGGTTGGCACGGCGGCGCGTGCACACATGCATGGGTGTCGGCGGCAGAGGGAGCTTACCCACGCAAAGGGGTAGGCACCATCCCTGGGGATTGCTGCTGCCAGGTAAGAGCTGGTTTTTCCTCCTTCGCTTTCTCCAGGGCCCTTTCAGAGAGGCTATACCTTAGCTGGGCTCCTCTGCTCCACTCTTCTCTGCACGGGTCTCCTGTTTCTCCCTGTCTAGTGAACACCACTCCAGGTCTGCAGGCTGACACATGCTAAAGGCACCTCTAAGGAGGCTTATTGCAAAACAGAGCAGCTCCCTGTGGGGGGAAGGACTTTTCTCTGTGCCTGGAGCTCACACAGGTTTAGGGGCGCTAAGGGAAATGCCCATCTGCCTCCTAGCTTGCTGCATGTGCACTCGGAGACCTTCTCCAATGAAGCTGCTGCAGCAGAACCCGGCATCCCCACCGCACCAGAGCTGCAGAGCAGCTCTTGCTTTAAACCTGTCCTGCTATTGCCAGGAGAATCAATAGTATAGACTGAGCTAACGGAATCAGAGCATTTTCCGTTGTGTACCTATTCTCCCACAAATATTGGAATGGAGTGGGACAGCCATTATCAAGAAGGTATTTTTTCTAAAAGAGTAAACAACCTTACTCAGTGCTTTCCTCAATGTCTTGTTCTCCTAATTCCTAGTAGAAATTACCAAAAGGACTAAATCCATGGGTGCTGCATTGATTAAGTGTCTCCAGAGATCTTTAAAGATCTCAAAATGCTTTATAAGCTTCAGATAATATTACTTGTAACTAGGAAGCACCGTTCAGATAGTATATGGTTGCAAGAAGAAAAATTACAGTATCTATGACTTCGTTTATGCCTTGGTATGCTTGGTTTTATTCTCAGCACTCTCTATCATTATTTGGTGAGCTGAATATCTCTACTGCCACAAAACCGGCATTTTGGAGGATCTTGGAGATTGTCTGGAGGTTAAATAATAATGACTGGTAGCTCAATTAACACATTTTTTTATTATACATATAGTGTGTGGTAAAGATACACACAAGTACATTCAAACCTTATGCACACATAACTGTTACACAGATATTATTTTCCATTTTTTGTGAGTAGGCAGAATGTATTAAATCCATATGATTACAACCTTTCAATTGGGCGTTTGTCATCCCATAGATTTAGCTTAAGAAATGTTTATGTGTGTGTGTGTGTAAGTATCCGTGTGTAGCCACTTCTGCAGTCGTGTGTGGGTTAAGAGAAGCGTTTGTGACTGCTTCAACGGTGTGCGTGTGCACATGGGTATATGCAGGTAGCAATGCACGGCGAAGACTAGATATAGAAGGCTTGAATTTAACACTGTAACATAGATGGGTCTGAAACACGTAGACCTCTCATTCTCTGCCACTGTCAGACAAACTGGACCACTGACCTGATCTCTGTGAAATTATTTTTTTGCCTGTACTTACGATTATGTTTCATCTGTGTTCCCACCACCTCTGGGCGGGAAGAGGTGGCCCTAGCTTCCTGGTTGCATATTTGATGGCTTGTTGGAGAAAAATAGTATTCAAGCTATGGCACAAAGCTAAGGCTGCAGTGAGGTCAGTACCAGGCCATCTGTAACAGTCAAGTATCTCCCAGAGCAGAGCTCTCCCAGCATCCAGAGCAGTTGGGAGTGTGTCACAAATATTCCCAGATTAACACCAATGGTGCAAAAAAGTGAGAGGCATTGGGCACGTTTGTGATCAAAGCAAAACGCTTGTTGTATGAAAGAGCAGAGATTAGAGCTAGCACTGCAGTGGCCTAGGACACCACTGAGCACATTGCTTTGCCCTTTGGCTTGGGCTGGGTTCCCCACTGAGACATCATTGAGATGACTGAACCAGAGATATGTGGCTTCACGAAGGAAAGTGATGGAAAACCTTTGCATAGCCATGTCAGGGAGCAACTCTGGGCACAGCAAAGCCTCTCGTGCTGGTAGGGTTATCAAGCCTTCCTGGCATGCCTCCGGTTGGCATCTAAAATCATATTTTAAATAATATTATTTCATATACTGTATTTACCCTGTAGAATATAAGACTTGTTTGAACACTGCTACCCCTTCTCTGTCCATCTGAGACTGCCCCAGCTCGTTGTGGCATGGGTTGATGTGTCACTCGCCAGTCCTGGTGTGTCATACTCTGTCTCCACATCTCTGTGGTGAGAGATGGGCAGTGATTGGTGGGGTTCAAATGGGTATATGGGGTGTAGTGAAGGAGACTGTGCAGCCTCTCTGCTCCTCATTTCCAAGTTGAATGTTGGTTGCTCAGACATAAGGACAATGGACCTGAGGGAAGGTAGGGCTCTTTTTCTGTTTTTGTTGCAAGTTTTTCCTTATATTATTTTTTTCTTTTAATTTGCAAATTGATGTAGTAATAATATGCTCAGTATTTGAAACCTTAGGCTAAAGGCTATCTCATGTTTTTACATGTCATCATGCCTTATAAGAGTGAGTTTCATGTCCACATGCACAAGTTTAAACGACTTTATCCTCACTGCGCTCTCAGAGCGCTCACTCTGAGACACATGCTGCCATTCCCCACTGAACAGACTCAGAAGAGGAGCACAGAGAGACAACATGGCTTTTCCCAAGATTACAAAAAGTCATCAGCAGCGTAGGAATAGGTGAAACGTTTTCTGAGGCATGGACAAGCCATCCTGCTTTCAATACTGCTGAAAGTATCTTTATACTTAATAGTACAGAAACTCATTATAGTGCCTGGCAGTGTCATGTGCCAATATTTATCTCTATTTGCTTTGTCTATTACAAAGAGAGGCTAGGCAAATACACTTTTGTTAAATTTAATTGATTACATAATTTTTTTACTTTCTGGACACAGAAGTACCTACCTCACAGACCCTTAGAAACCCGTGACTGCATACATATATAGAGAGATATGCATACATATGTATATTCATGAACACATAGGAACACAACAAAATATATCTTTTATTTATAGAAGGAGGGTGTCTTTACGCATACTCAGAAAAGAATAAGAATTTCACCTAGTTCCTTTTTTCAGTCAACAGTTCTATAGTGCTGCTTAAAAATGAACACAAAAGCTTATTTAATAAATATTTCCAGATCTGATTTAAAGATTGAAATTAAGAACAAAGTACTGTAGTATATAAATAGAGATTTAAGAATTACTGATATTTTTTGTTTTCAAACTTCTGTATTTAGCTTTTCCTTACTTCTTTCTATTTACCTGCAAAGAAGCAAATTCACATTTTCATATAACAACTGTCAAAAACATTGAGCCCTAAGACCCTATCTATCTATAATGGAAAAGGGAGCTAAACCTCTTTATTCTTGTGTAACTCATTAACTAACATCAGACGATTAGAGCTAGTGTTTCAATTTAAAACAATTCAAGTCCCTCATTAGCAGGGCTAGATTTCCTTTGATCTAATTAATGTCCCAGATATATGGGAAATTCAGAGATCAGCTCTGAGAAGTCTCTGCAGACACAGTCACATCTAGAAACATGAACTTACACATAACCTCTAGAAATGTTATTTAGCATTAACAAGCCTCATTTAGTCAGCTGAAAATGCTTGGTCAAACGTTCAATGAAATCAAGTTGATGGTAGCTAGCGAATGAAGATGAAGACTGTTTACTGAACATGATTTCATCTACAATATGAATGGCAACTGGATTGCAAATTTCCATAATTAAGCATGCAGAGCACTGTTCAGATTCTGCAGTGAAGTTTTTTAATTGCTGTTGTAGGGGAAGCAGTACAGCAGGGTGTTGCTGTCACATGATGAGCTTTTCAGGCTGAGCTAGTAGGATGCCCTTTTAAAATGTTCTTGGTGTTTTCTGGTTTAGAGACAGGAGATACCATCATGGAGATTTCGTCAAAAGAAAATGCTCAGTTTTTCTCAAACAACATAATCCTGCCAATTGACCGCTCTTCATTCAAATCTGAATCTTCTGCTTCCAAGGAAAAACAATCATGTTGCGGAGGCATAAAGGTAGAGTAAGAGCCTTGAATATTCTGCTAGAGACTTAGAAGACCTCATTTTTTGTGGACTAACTCTTTTTCAGTTCTAGTTTTGTGTTGTTGAGCCAGCATAAAATTATTGGAGATGTTTCTAAATTGCAGAAAAAGGTCTGCTTCTCTTTTGTATTTGCCTCATGTGTGACAACATTCAGATAGGACCTGTTGATTCAGGATGGTGTATTATAAGTTCTTCAAGAGTCATCATGGAAGACTGGTACATCTTCATTATTGCATCCTTCTATTTTTTCTGAGTTTATGAGCAGAATGTGAGTAGCCAAGTGGCACAGTCAACTGTTAGTAAGTACTGCTTTTTTTTAAGGTCATAGCAACAGTGATCTTCTACGTTCTCTAATATATCTGCCTTACTGCCCATGTGTTTTGAATGGTATATTACTTGGGGTTGGAGGAGATGTTCTCCAAAGGTCCCTTCCGATCTTTATCATTCTGTGATTCAGGTATCACTGTCACATCCCTGACCTGAGCAAACTTCACACAAGAGGACCTTAAAATGGACCATGGAAGTCTGTCTGGTCTCAGCTGTGTCTGCATTTCTCTGGCCCTCACAAAGAGCTTCCTCTGTCCAGAGCAGGCACCCTGCTTTGAGCCTCCTGCCAGAGCTCTACTTGCCTGATGGTGCATGCGAGTACCGTGCCAGGGAGGAGAAATCCTTCTGGGAAGGCTTTTTGGGGGCACAGCAGGACAGACAACAGCATGGTGCTTTACCTACAGTCTCTATCAGTGTTTTACAGATGAGACTCTTGTGTGTCATGTGCAAACATGAGCAGAGCTCATCTGAGGGATATGGAAACTGGATCGTTGGCCTTGCCCAATTCTTTTCATCTTGCATGTTCTTTTTTTTTTCTGTTGGTTTTCCATGCTAACCAGAATTAAACAAATCTTTCAGAAACTGATAAAGATATCTCTAAAGCCACTGATTTCAGTGGTAGTAGAAATGAACTCTATAAATTATGCAAACCAACTAAGATCTTGTTGGATTAACTGAGAAAGATAACTGTGGTAAAAATGTTTGTATTCCTGAATATTTTCTGTGGTCTTGCTTTGCAGGGACAAGAGTCAAGAATTGGGGTCCTATTTTGAAATAAAAGATGAATTGTATTAATTAAATTTGTAACATAATAGCAACTCTATCTTTGTTCCTCCACTTGCCTCAACAATAATCAACAGCAACAATAATCCGATTCCTTCATTGAATAAAACCTCAGTCACAGATTAGCCAGTCAGGAATCAGCTTAATAGCTCCAAAAATAGAAGAGCAATAATATTACAGCACCTTTTTTTTTTTTCTCATGTTCAAGAACTTTGTGTCTTCTGGGAACTAAAACTGACACGATTAACCTTTAAAATACCAAACCAGTACAGAGAATCAGCAGGATGTTTTTTTCATTAATTACTAGCCTTCCCCTGCATTAAAATTGCCTTTATTGACCTAAAAGATGTGGTGAAATACTTGCATGCATACGGTCAGCAACAAACCACAAAAGAATATGAAATCATCTGCACTTTTCTGTCACAGCTTTAAAGCAAGAGCAATTTTTTCCACCATAGTATATGGTCTCCATCTCCCTCCTGGGATATTTCCAGAGCAAGAGGAAAAATCAGTGCCAAAGTAACAGAAGTCTGAAGTTCCAGTTTCACTTATATAATTTTCCTGTGGAAAAGCATGCCTGTTTTACCATAGCCGTTTAAAACTGAAAGGAAAAAGACATAGTAAATGTAAATCTTTTTACTAGAGAGCTTTTGAGAATCTTCAAAGTTGGGAAAAAATTATTTATTTGCCCACAAGCATTTCCAAATGAGATATTGCTTAATAACAGCACTAAGAACAGAAAAGCATGTTGAATGTGACACAGATGTTTTTGAACCTTGGCACAGGAACTTGCATTAAGCATTGATGGCAGTGTTGGTGCCAGTGATGTACCCTGTCAAATGTAATGTTTTAAGGATATTACATGGGGCAGACTGTTCAGAGCTCATGATCGCCTAGAGGCCAGTCCTGAAGGGCAGGACAGAGGTCTAGACCTCTTCACATTCCAGATGTTACTGAGTCTTTTTATTTCTGGTTTCAGTTCTTTGTTTTTGTTTGTTTGTTTGCATTTACACCTTTCCCAAAAAGTAGTATATATTCCATGAACACAGCCTGAGTTTGAAGACAGGAACAGTGTTGCTGTTCCCATTGCAGACTGCGCTGTGTCTGAGCATTTCTGCAGCTAGGAAGCACAGTAAGGTTGCGTTCACATTAGGAAATAGCTCTGTGGAAGTGAAACGGTGCTAAGAAGCCAGCAGTTCATGGTGAGGTGTTTCTTCACGCATTTCAGGTTGAGATGTTGCTTCATACTAGCTCTGGCCTTGCTCCAGAGACTGAAACCCTTCTTTATGTTAAAGCAGCCTAGCTGCATTTCTGGAGCACCTTTTCCAGTACAAGTTCACGTGAAAGAACTTCAGTCCATGTGACTGTAGTGTGAACCAAAGTGCAGTGAAGGGGGCGGGAGCAGAAGAGTCGCATCTATCTCCTCATAGTCTAACAGATAATTCTACTCTGAATTTCACGCAGCTGAGAACACTCCAGGACAGACACCTTCCTACCACCCCAGGCATCAGTGGGAACAAGATTCTAAAATCCAACTGGTTAAATATCCTGATAACGTGTGTGAAAATACACGTTTTAAGACAGGTTCCTATTAGGCAAAAGCCTATGTTAAAAACATATCAATTTACTGGCACTTCACATTTTTCCATATTGTTGTTATTGTAAGATGCCCTTCATTAAAGGTATCAGAAGGCTGCTGTATTTCTCTGCCCATAGATGCATCATTTTGGTATCTATGAGAAATTAGCACCTGGACTGGCCACTGGCAAGTTCAGTTTACATTATCTGTCATAGAAGATGACTACATTGACAATCTAGCCTAGTTCACAAAGCATAAGAGAAATATTGATGTGGTTATCTCGATAAAAAAGAAGGGGGAATGTAAAAAATATTTTAAATAATTAAGCAAAGCTTTCTGTACTGCCCAATTATAATCACTGTCACTTGCTTTCACAGATATTTCTTGGTGCATTATCTTTTGTTTATTTTGCAAAAGCACTGTCTGGAAGTTACCTAAAAAGTACTATCACACAAATAGAAAGAAGATTTGATATTCCTTCCTCTTTGGTTGGCGTTATTGATGGAAGTTTTGAAATTGGTATGTGCTGTAGAAACTCGTTTTTGTTTACAGAAAAAAAAAAGTAATATGATTTGTTTTGAATAATATGTCTCTCTGGCACAATAACACTGAGCAAAATTCCCTATTAATGGTTAACATGGCTTTTAATATATTTACACTGGCTAGGAGTGGGCTGCTGACACAAACAGTTCAATGTATTCCTAAACACTTTATGATAAAGGCTGTAGTGTTGGCCAAGACATTTATGTATGGTTCTGGTTGCCACTGCTTCTCAGAACCTGCAAAGACAGTAATTCCATTATGAAACAGTACTGGCTGCAGCATACACGCTTCCCGTTTTACTCCCCAAGGAGCCTATGCAAGGATCATTTCACAAATTCAGGTGACTACATGTTGATAAGCTAGGCTGGTGGCTAGCCCAACCAGAACTTCATGTCATAAAGTTTAATAATACGAGTTTTACGTGTAGAATTTTAATTAGGTTGCACAGAATTTCTTGCCTTTTGTCAGCAGTCCTCTTTCCCCATAGGTATTTGTCCAGTTCCACCAATGTATCCTCATGCTTTGGTAGGCAGCAAGGGTACGAATCTCTTAGCTATAATCTCATTCCATTTTCCAGTGATCCAGGTTACTCTTACACTAAGCTTTACAGTGTGACATCACCTCTGGCTATTTCAAATTACTGAATATTTTTCTTGCATGTTCAGTGTACAGTGGTATTCATGGGAATTAAACCTTAAGTATATAAAGCTTTGCTTGATTCCTTCTTTTCTTTACTTACCTGGCTATTTCTCTTCTTCTGCTACTAGCTGTCATCTGGCATAGTCCTTCTCCTCTTTCTTGCTGCTTTTTCAAAAACTTAAATTCTTCTTATCCAGAAAGGTATTGGGCTCTCCTAAGAATGCCTAGAAATAGGGAAAAGAACCAGTGCCATATGATCAGCCCTCTCTCCCCTGAAATTGCTGTGCAATACTATGTGCTAGGGATCTTTATTTTAGAGCCTAGATCTATTATCCACGGGTTGTTAATCTCAGTTTTCTTTTTCTGCTTTCAAAGGGAACCTCCTAATCATAATTCTTGTAAGCTACTTTGGAGCGAAGCTTCACAGGCCAAGGATAATTGGCGCAGGCTGCTTAATTATGTCAGCTGGAACATTCCTAATTGCGATGCCCCAGTTCTTCATGGGACGGTAAGTGCCCGGTGATCCAGGTTCTGCAGCCATGCTACCCACACTGCGTGTTAGCTCATTAAAATGTTTAGGCATGGATGGTGACGGGGCCACCAGAAACAGGCATATGTTGATGTGGTTAATCGACTTAATATTTATTATGAAAGGACTTCTTACAGAAAAGCAAGTAATTTAACATATACCCTACTCACAGTTGTAATCAGCTTATCAATTTATTAATGATAATGTGATCTTAATCAGCCACTTTTTCTGATGTGGTTTATGCATCATAAAAGCCTCAGTAGAAAGTGTGTAGCTTTATGTACCATAGCAAAGTACTTGTTAAATTGAAATGCATCACTGAGACACACACGATTCCAAAGGAAACATTTTCCTACAGTATCATAGTATAAACTGAATTTCACTTATTCCCTGCAAACCATATAGACCTTTGGCAACATTGTGTTGGGATGCAGATGAAACCTGTCTTCCATGATAGCAATAGCTTTGTTTGTTCTTTTTCTTGTAATTTCTTAAAAACAAAAAGACAATCTTGTTTTTTAAACAGGTATAGGTATGAAAGATTTACTTCCACCATCAATTCAACTGGTAGCCTCTCCCCATGTCTACAGGAAAAAAGCCAAATTCCACACTCAGCCTTGGAAAAATCTCAGGCCAAAATAAATGCAGGTAAGAACAATCCATTTTAAATGCTATGATAAGTACACTAAAATACATCAGAAGGCTCCCAAACAATAATGTACTAATTTATTAGGATGCAAAAATAATAAATGGAAATCAGACAATTCTTTCCCATGGAAAAGTCAGATCTGCTGGATAAGACAGCTTTATTAAGAAAGATTTGGAAACCCTTCTGCCAACTGCCGAGATGTCCTTTCAGGCTCTTTCTCCTAGCCTTGCTGTCTGCTCCAGAAGCTTTCTGCAGCTTCGTGGCATGCAGCAATGCCAGGTGGTCTCCCCTGGGACCTGGGAAAGGCAACGTCTTCCTTGTGCTGGGAACTGCGGGAAGTAAATATGATTGATAGTGCTGTCTATCCTCAGTGTTTTCCAGATTTTTCCATTAGGAGATCCCAATTGCAAATAGCTTCTACCTGGGATATAGCAGCAAATTTATAAACTGGCCAGTATTTAACACATTTGGCTGAAGCTCCTCACACTAAACATGTCTTCCTCAAGCCAAGATGTTTGAGAAAAAAATCCCACCTTTTTTTTTGCAGTTCAGGGTATACTGCTTGCCCACTTCTGAAGTATTTCACTCACCTTCTTTTAGTTCTATGTATTCAGTAGTAAAATATTATGAAAAACATGTTGCTATCTCTGCCCTGATGTATCTAGGATGTGAAAAAGAAGCTGGCTCATCCATGTGGATCTATGTTTTACTGGGAAATCTTTTGCGTGGAATAGGTGAAACCCCTATCCAGCCTTTGGGAATTGCATACATTGATGATTATGCCGTTGAAGAGAATGCTGCCTTATACATTGGTAAAACAAATAAATTATTTTTTTTCTAATGGATTTTTCCCTGGTGAAAACTGAGTCATTCTGAATAATGGAATGAGTGTTCTTGAATTAACCTACCCTGGCTGTTTTGTTTGCATCACTTCCCATATTAAAGTTTTATTTAACAATCGCGTATACCCAAAGAATCAAGTTCCTCTTTAATTACACCAGTCCCGTTCCATTACCATAATTTGAGTAAAGAATTTGACCTTAGTTTCCTGCTGTTACCTTAATCTTCCTAATTCTTCTGGATGTGGACTGTTGAGTCTCTGCGCAGAGTCAGTTCTCTGGAAAGAGATAAAAACATGTGGTTTTTGTGTTTCTTTTCTTTTTTTTTTTTTCAAATACTTAAGATAGAATTTCGGGAAACTCTTAAGACTTTCCCCTCTGAATTCCTGTAGAATTGTAACAAATAGTGCTGAGGTTTGAAAAGTTGGGATCACTATTGTTGTGTTCATTGTGTGAAGTGCTCTGCACATTCATCTGAAATATTACCAAAAAGTCCTGCCCTGTCAGACTCTTTTCTTGAAGCGTTTCCAGCTTGGCAAAAAACAGAATCCCTGTGAAAAACACTTGTTCTTGCCAGATTTTTGGATCAATTCTGAAAACTGAAAATATGTGGAAAGTTTGGCTTAGTGTCTATTGAAATAAATACTGGGTACAAAATCACAGGCTATGTGAAGTTCGCTACAGTTTACTGAAATGATTTCATGAATTGATATTTGTTTTTCAGCTACTTTAGTATAGCCAGCTAAATAGTTTATAGCAATTACAGAGTGGTGCTATCATTGAGCTTAGGTCATTAAACTCATTCGATATATTTTCTTTAAGCTGAAATTCATTCTTTAATTGTATCATAACCAAAAAAGAAGAAGAAAAAAGCATGTATGTAGTGGGCCAACTTTTGGTTTTGGTTTCTTCTTGCAGAAGTGCTGATTTGAGTAACTAATGTATCAGAGTGCAGTATTTTAAGATTGTATTGCTTATTACCTATTCAATGTCATACCTTGCTCTTTCTTGTACAACAAGAACCAACGTTCATTCTCACCTAAAAACGTAACAGTCCCCTGTTTTCTATTACAGGCTGTGTACAGACACTTGCAATTATAGGCCCAATATTTGGCTTTCTTCTAGGATCCCTGTGTGCCAAACTTTATGTTGACATTGGCTTTGTAGATCTGGGTAAGTCAGAAAACTCAGGTTTTTAAATTTAGTCAAGCTCAGTATGGGCTTATTCTAGCTACGTATTTTTGGCCAAGAAGTATGTAGCTTTACTATCTTTCCTAAGGATAAGGGGCTAATAAAGCAGAGCTGGCACTTAGAAGATAAAATGATGCCAGCAATGTAGCGCCTCCTGAGAAAAAGTCTAACAACGAGGACAGGTACAGAGGAAGTAAGAGGCTTGACTCTTTCTCAGTTTGAGCAGATCCTGCATTGCAGGAAATCACCCAAGCGAGGAGGCACTAGGAATGCAGCAGCCACCAGGAGGAGGAAGACCCATGGCTCAGGATTTTGGTAAAAGCCATCATGTGAATTTTGGGTTACACTGTCATTGCATAGAAAACCAGTCCTGAAACTAGTACCAGAACTCCTGATTTCCTTACTCCTAGGGAAAAAAAAAAAACACACCATCTGCCCTAGTATTTGGCTGGCTCCACAGCTTCTGTGCAGAAGTCCAGTCGGGAGCAGGCTGCAACCATCTGCAGGACCTCCCTTGGGTTCATCCTCTCCAGGGATGTGCATGTGGCACATGCTGGAACCCCTTGGTCTTAGGGAAAGGCCACTGCTATCCCCAGGGATCAGCAAGCCCTTATCACCTCCCTCAAGTTGTTCTTGACACCAGTAGAGACCTATGGCACCGACACACCTGGGGTGGAGGAGGACTCTCCTGAAAAAAGTCCCCAAAAAAGATCACCTTTTTGTTATTATCAGCAAATATTTCCTAAAAGTATTTCTTTGTTTCTTCTTTTTGGCTTTCTCCAGACAGTGTCACAATAACTCACAAGGATGTGCAGTGGGTGGGAGCTTGGTGGCTGGGTTACTTAATAGCAGGTGTGATTAGCGTTCTGGCCGGCATCCCGTTCTGGTTCCTGCCCAAGCACCTATCAAAACCCGAAGGCAGAAAGGACTCCAGCTCCTCCTCTGAGCAGTCCAAGTTCATCACTGAGGATAACAATGAGCAACAGAAATCTTATCAGCAGCACATGAAGATTGCCGAGCTGGCAAAAGGCAAGACCCTAGAATCTGTTTCTTTACTGTTGAGTCTCTCTTTTTTTTTCCTCCAACATAATTTTCCAGCTAACTGGTTTGCAAATTTCCAGGAGCATTTTCATTTTCCTCTTGCAGACAGAATTTCTCCAGCCAAGACTTGTAAAGCTATGGTCATGACCTAAAAAGTATCATGAAACCCTGCAAAAGTATTTTCTTAGCGTGTAGCATGAGTGGAAATCAAATGGTGATAACCCATGATAATGGTTTCTAAACCTCCTTTTTTTGTGTGTGCTAAGCTCCGTTTTCCTTAAAGTCATCCATTAGTAGAATGCATACAAAAGCTGACCCAAGTAAGATTGGGCACAGATCACATAGAGTATGTTAGCCCACTACCTGGATTTCAACATCAACTGTTTTGCACAATTCTGTCTCTTTGGCTCTACCTTGTCAAAAGTGTTTTTCCACAAAATTTGAAGCTTCACCTCAATGTGCTTCTGTTTACCTTTCTTACCTGGATTCTTATGAAAAAAAATCATTGCTATTCATTGCTTTCCTTCCTGCATAGAGGTGGGAGCTGAGCCCTGCTGAGCAAGCTCCAATTCCCAAAAAGCTTTGGCTGTTGAGTTCACGGACAAATCAACTCAGGCCTTTTTTTTTTTTTTTTAAACAACTGAAGGAAGGTATCTAAAACAAGATGTCTCTCCTAGAAAATTGGTGCTTAGCAATTTGTTTCACCATTTTCCCATGCAGAAATGCAGATCCTAAGAGCATTGTGGGACTTCATTTGTTCCTTGTGAAGTAGGCTGCAGTCTTCCTTTGGAACATGCAATCATATTTAAAATCATTATTCACAGAAGTTACTCTCTCTGACCATGGTGTTCATCTCTGTTACTTTGTTTTGCAGATTTCTTGCCATCACTGAAGAACCTTTTTGGAAATCCTGTTTACCTTCTGTATTTGTGTGCAAGTATTATTCAGTTCAACTCTTTAATTGGCATGGTGACATATAAGCCGAAGTATATTGAACAACAATATGGACAAACATCTTCAAAAACTAATTTTGTGATAGGTAAAGCTATATCTGCTTCTTGGTACCTTATAAATGGACATCGTAAGAGTAGTACATACATAGGGAGAAAAATGTTTCTTAGGCTATGCTTATTTGTTCTCCTTCCTTGCCTGACTTTAAAGGAGTATCTTGCAGAAGGTAAGTTATTTCATTCTGGCTTTAACAATAGTTAGTTCTCATGTTATCTATGTGGGTGTCACTGAAAAAGATTCTACAATTTGATACCTTATTTCTAGTCTACCAGGAATATGAAAAATAGCATATGTACATCACAAGAGAATAATTGAAAAGATAAATTTTAAAAAACTCTACCCAAATTCGTCATCAGATAGATCTGTTCTCTTGCTGGCTTCCCATTTATTTCAAAGAAGGTATATCAGCTCAGTGAGTGCAAGAGGACTGAGCATAAATATTCATATTGCTGAATTGCCAGTGATTTCTTACCTTTTTAAAAAAGATGGATGTTAAATAAAGGCGAGTGAATGTCATATCGGTGATATCACAGGGAGAGTGAGCCTGGGCTCCTCTCTTCCTGCACCCTCCTGCACCTGGTGATGCTGTGGAGGAAGTCATTTCTGGAGACATTGTCAGGATGGGGAACTTCACAGCCCAGCTATTGAAATGGGAGACTTGAATTCATTTTTTTTTTTTTTTGAGGCCCAGCAAATCAGTAGCATTACACAGCAAAGAGGTTTACATCTAGGTAATACAGCGTGAGCTGCCTTGGTGCAGAGCTTTCAAGACAGCATTAGTTGCACAGCAACAGAGGTGTCTATGTGCCGAAAAGCTGCAGTGATCCATTGCGCTATGTTAATTCCTTAAACATAGAGGCTGGAATTTCCTGGCACGAGACTCCGATAAGAAAGGAGTTCAACCTCAACTATAGCTGATGGCCAGGGAAAGCCCGGAAAATAATCCCTGCCTTCAGCACAGTACTTTCCATTATATTCACAGATTTTCGGGAGTTAAGCTTTCAGGTATGTGTGAACTGATTGAGGATTAAGATCCGTCTGATTTGACAAGGCAACTGTACTCAACAGCGGGTGTGTGATGGCTGGGCTACCAAGCTCTCTGA